TGAATTATCTAAACAACAATTCCCTCTTAATGATGACTCTATCTTCTTTGATTGGTTAGTTACTTATTTACTCCTCTCCTTGCTGCTGCTGCTGCTGCTGCTGCTGCTGCTGCTGCTGTTGCTGCTGCTGTTGTTGCTGCTCCTGCTGCATATTATATATTTTATTAATTTGATTCATTTAATTAATTAATTAATTAATTAATTAATTAATTAATTAATTAAATATAATTATTTATTAATAGGGTCTCCTTATTATCTGTAAATAATTTCTCCAAGACGTTTGTTATCGTTTGCTGCCATCTAATTAATACCAATTAATTAATTAATTATAATTAATTAATTAATTATAATTAATTAATTAATTAATTAATTAATTAATTATATTTATTTATTTATTTATTTATTTATTTATATGGGGCCTCCTCCTTATTGTCCGTAAATAAATCGTTACAAGACGTTGGCTATCGATTAGTGCCATCTAATTAATGCCAATAAAATAATTAATTAATAAATTAATAATATTTATTTATTTATTTATTTATATTTATTTATTTATTTATTTATTTATTTATAGGGCCTCCTCCTTATTGTCCGTAAATAAATCCTTACAAGATGTTCGCTATCGATTAGTACCATCGAAGATATCTGAGGAAATATTTTGGCGAAAATTCTTTGGCTATGCTAAGTATACAATTATACAGCATGTAGGTACTTTTTGTCTCTTTTTTTCTCCCCTTTTTTTGTCTCCTTTCTTCTATTTATTCTATTATTCATACTCTCCTCCTTATTTCCTCTCTTTTTTTGTCTCTTTTTATATATTCTCCTCTCTTTTATTTCTCCTCTTCTTACTAAACCCTAAACCCTAATATATGTAAACCCTAAACCCTCAACCAGCTCTCCAGTCTTAATTGGAGACCCTCTTGCTGCTGCTGCTGCTGCTGCTGCTGCTGCTGCTGTTGCTGCTGCTGCTGCTGCTGCAGGTGTTACGTTCTATAGAGATGGAGGGAGGAGACAGTGCAGCAGGCCCTGATAGACAAACTGTCCCCTTTATGTCTCCAGTACCCAATACAATAGGCAATCCTCAGCTTGGGGGGCCCCTTGTAGGGGCCCCTATCCAAGGGGGGCCCCCTGTAGAAGACTCTCTACAGGATAGTGACACAAATGGGTACTCAATGCATGCACAACAGCGAGGAGACAGTTATGGTGAGTCATATACACTAAACACACGTTGAGGGCCCCTGGGGGCCCCTAGGGGTCCCTATGCTTATTGAGTACAACAATGCCCCTCCCCCCTCTGTTCCTGCCTTTTTAGGGTTTAGGGTTTAGGGTTTAGGGTTTGTGTTTTTGCTTCAGAGAAGAGAATACACAGGGGGCCTCCAAGGGGCCCCCCATTAGTCTATGAGCTCCCTGTCATCGAACCCAAGAATAGGGGGGCCCCCCATGGGGGCCCCCAGGGCCTTCCCCAGGTCCCTTCCAATGGGGCCCCCCAGGGGGCCTCCCAGCCTCTTCCTCAATTGTATGAGGGGCCCCCAGGGGCCCCTAGGGTTTATGGGGCCCCCCAAGACGGGCAGGGCCCCCAGGGGTTTACTTATGAATATTCCCCTCAAGGGCCCACTGGAGTGTCTCTAGGGGCCTCCAATGTTTAATGGGGGGCCCCAAGGGGCCCCCTAGACATTTGAGGGGCCCCCTAGGGGCCCCCCTAAATTTGCAGGGTACTATGGGGGTTTATAAAGAGTTGTATTTTATTATTTATTATATTTAAGGAGACAAGAAAAGGAGACAGAAGGGGGAGAGAGGGTTTAGGGTTTAAGGGTTTAGGGTTTAGGGTTTAAGGGTTTAGGGTTTAGAGAAGGAGCAGAGACAAAGGAGAGAATTAAATATAGATAATAAGAAAGGGTTTATTATGAATATAAGGAGACAGAGGAGGAGACACCATAAAGAAAAAAAAATAATAAAAAAGGAGACACTGTCTCCTTCTTAATAGAGACAGAGACTGTCTCCTTTTTATTTATTTATACACAAAGGGGGGACTGTCTCCTTTTTATCTACTGTCTCCTTCTTATATATACATACAGGGGAGGAGACTGTCTCCTTCTTATATATACATACAGGGGAGGAGACTGTCTTCTTCTTATATATACATACAGTGGAGGAGACTGTCTCCTTATATATACATACAGGGGAGGAGACTGTCTCCTTTTTATTTATACACAGAGGGAGGGGTAAGTGTCTCCTTTTTATATATACAGGGAGGGAGGGGTAAGTGTCTCCTTTTTCTATATAGAGGGAAGGAGGAGACTGTCTGTCTCCTTCTTATTGATAGACAGGGGGAGGAGAGTGTCTCCTTTTTATATATAGAGGGAGGGAGGGGTAAGTGTCTCCTTTTTTATTAATAAAGGAGACACTTGTTGCTGTTTATTGACTAATATATGCATGCAGTAATTTATCTACTTACCCTGTTTCTTCTTTATTATATACTGCTACTCCTGCTGCTGCTGCT